CCGACAGGCTTTTGAGTAGGAGCCGCCGCCTCTACTATACCACCACCACCCTGAGGAAACATCTGAATATTGAAGAAGCCCTAAGCCGTGGGAAGTACTACTCGGAACTTCGGACCTACGATCTGCCATCTTTGGACTATTGAGCACCATGTTTTAACTGAGGATACTTTAAGATGTATTATATGTTTTACATTATTATGTATATGATGTTTTTATTATGGCAAGGTTCTGCCTTGCCTCTGTAAGCCGCCCTGAGCCCATCAGGGAGGGCGGGGTATAAATGTAAAAAATAAATAAATAATATAAATAGATGAGAGGATTAGTTGCAAGGAAAGGCTAGTTAGAGTCAAGATGCATGGGTGATTATAGCTGACATTGGATTAAGGCAGTTGGTAAGATCTGTGAATGGCAATAAATTAGCATACAAATACAAGAGTTAACAAACATGTGAGAATGAAGTTTGAGTCCAGTGGCGCCTCCAAGATAACACAATTCAATTCTGGGTATAAGTGAGAATTGAGAGACTTAGCATGTGTAGATCCACACTCCTTCAGATAAATCGAAATAGATTTCCTCATACATTACATATAGGTGTGGGAGGGTAGTTGTCAGGAGGGGTCTAGTTAGAATCAAGATGTATAAGCAACTAAGGAATAGATATAGCTAAGATTGGAATAACACATTTGATAAGACGTGAATAGCAGTAAATTGGCGTACAGCTAGTAAAGGCATTAACAACAGATATGAGAACTGAGTTTGAGTCCAGTGGCACCTTTAAGACCAACAAAGTTTAATTTCTGGGCACAAGTGAGAATTGAGTGACTTAGCATGTGTAGTGAGATAAGAAGTCATTATCTCTGTTAAGCCCAGGGGGTTCAATTGTTCTCCTGAGTGTAGTAATAAGTTGTAATTCAGCAGTCTCCTGTTCCAGTCTGTTTCTGAAATTCCTTTGCAATAAAATAACTACTTTGAGGTCCCCCACTGAGTGCTCTGGGAGGCTGAAATGTTCTCCTACAGGTTTCTCAGTTTTGTGATTCTTGATGTCAGATTTGTGCCAACAATGCTGTTCAGTTCTCTACATAAGACAAACAGGTCAAACCTTATGCCAAAGGATAAATGGACACTTCCATTAACAGAAATATCTACACATGCCAAGTCTCTCTCCGTTTTCATTTATACCCAGAGTTGAACTTTGTTACCTGGGAGGTGCTACTGGACTCAAACTTCATTCTCACATCTGTTTGTTATTTGTATGCTAATGTATTGCCATTCACAGATTTTACCAACTGCCTTAATCCGATCAACTATATTCTCTCAGTTTCTTATGCATCTTGTTTACTAGCCCCCCCCGGGCAACAACCCCCCCCCCCCCAATATTTGTCGAAATTCTGTTTCAGTGTATCTGGAGAATTCTGCTTGCACATGAAAGCTTATACCTTGAATAAAATTTTGTTAGTCTTAAAGGTGCCATTGGAATCAGTTTGAGTGGTAGTTTCAGAAAACAATCTGACGGGTATTATAAAGTTGATTGAGAATAATCTTTTGTATTCTCGTGGAGGATTATAAGATGTCTGTGTTTTACATGGGGATTTGTAGGTATTTATAAAACAATGCAATGCTACATTATGAAAGCTCTTTTCACAATTTGTTATAAGAATAAATCCAAAAAATCCTTTTTGGTAAAACTCTGTTTTGTTTCCCTCTTTGCACTTTCACTTCTGCTTTTAGTCTGTTAGGTGTAACTTAGCCAGGTACATGTATAAACACTTGACAGGGATTCAGAATTATTGTCTCATCTATTCCGTTCAGAGTGAAATGACAGCTTTTAAGTATGATATAAAAGTATTCAGGTTTTCATCTACTGTTTACATGAAGTGTAAGTCATTTGTATTCTACAGTAGTGTTAAAAATACAGAGTTTTACTGCTGCAAGAAGCAGCATCTGATCAAAGGACAATACTTCATGCATTAAGTCTGCTGTTTCAATTTCTTGATGGATCTTCAGTCTGGATTCTTGCAGATTTTTTAAAATGGTTCCTGAGCTCAGCCTCATCTTTTTATCATCTGTTAAAATGTATTGATGGTTTTTTAGATAAGTGTATGTAGAGTATGTAACTAGTATATTCTCTTATCAAGTTCACTGAATTGAATGACAGTTATGAAATTCTAAACTTTAATATTACAATACCAAACATTTTAACTTAGCTTTACTGTATTTCTGGTCTAGAACTGTACAACATGATGTGCCCACCTAAATCCTGTCTGTTACCTATAGTATCCTGTCTGTTACCTATAGTGGCCCACCATAGGCTTGAATAAAACAACTTTTAATTCCTGTCAGGAGATTGTCAGTTCCTTGGTCCATCACAATACACAGCTGCTGTGTATTGGATGTGGGTCACAAATTGTACACAAGTTGACTGTTGTTTGCATAATAGTTGTATCGAAGTGTTTGAGCCCAAATATGAAGATCGGAATATAAGACTAAAGCATAACAATAATTCCTGCGTGTATTAGAGATGTTTATGGCACTCATATTCAAGATGTGCATATACACCAAGAAGGTGCTGCATCTTTATGAGTGGAGCAGGCAGGCCTTTTTTGCTTGTGGATTACTGCTTGTCTTCCTCTGACTTTGATCTAGCTTGGTGTAGTTAGTAGAAGCTAGTGCCCTGAATCTGCTTGCCTCTTGACCTGGTCTTTTCTGATCAGCCTTTTCAGCTTTCTTCACAATGGACTGTCAAACAGTCACTCACAGAATGGCAAAAAAGCAGCTTACTGGGTACAATGTTATTGTTTTTTCAAATATAAGTTGATTGTTTAAACATGGCTGCTTTTGGTCATATTTATTATGCTGTGATGTGTTTGATAGTGATACACTTTTGAATCGTGTAGATAAGCCATTGAATAGATGTTTTCAATGTTATAAGATTTAATTTAGTAGTCAGATATATGGCTGGTCCTGCTGTGTTTATGAAACAGCCTGTCCTAGAAAATACTCTTTCGTTTGCTATAAAGTCTGTGTTTTCTGTTTTCAGGTTTTCCCTTGAATCTCAGAAGGCAAAAAAATTGATACATATAGTAGTACATAGGGTACAGCAGTTTGCAGCTTTTTCATTTTTAGTTTTGGGTGTATTTGCAACTTTTGCCAAGTCAGTTATAAACTATGCATTTTATGTTAAAGTAGTAAAATGAGATAAGGTTTGAAAAAGTAAGAGTTGCATATATTTCGTTTCCCCTAGTATTTCTGTATTTTGGAGGAGGAGCTCCCAAGGCTTGAGAATTTCTGAAAAATTTATATGTCTTAAGCATCTACGTCTTTGATAGTAACCTTGTTAGACTTAATACTAACTGACTCTAGGTTGTATTAATCTTTCCTGTCTTTATAGTTGCACAGTATCCTTTCGAAGACCATAATCCACCACAGCTAGAGCTTATCAAACCTTTTTGTGAAGATCTTGACCTATGGCTTAGTGAAGATGGCAATCATGTTGCAGCAATCCACTGCAAAGCTGGAAAGGGACGAACTGGTGTAATGATTTGTGCATATTTGTTACATCGAGGAAGATTTCAAAAGGCACAAGAAGCTCTAGATTTCTATGGGGAAGTAAGGACCAGAGATAAAAAGGTAAGATACTCATTCTGTCTTTTGCTTTATTTCTAAAACTCCGTGTGGGTTATGTTGAACCTATTGAATTTTGTGGCATCTGTGTATTATGTTCAGATTGCGAATATACAGTGTTCCTAAAATTATGTCATCACTTTTTAGACACTTTCTTCCTTTTCATCTGTGTGATCAGCAACCTCTGTGTGGATGACACTGAAGGGGTCTGTGCCTGCTCAGGGCAATGGTTCAGAAACTTAACTTGAGCTTTAGTGCAAAGACCTCCCTCTCAGAATGCATCCTTGAACTGTGCATGCTTTGCAAGGGGAGGAGTCACAGTACCCTCCTGATTAGTTTCCTGTCATCCACTGCACTGGCAACTTTGTTGGGAATGTAACCCAAAGCAATACTGTAATACGTGTGCACCATCTAAAAAACAGGTTCAATCCGAAAGAATGTTTCTGCAGATGAAAGGATTTGGGCCGGGGAACATGCTTCCTAGTTGCTTCCTGGCACTGAAGACCAAATGCCCCCGAATACTTTTCTTGGGAGTCCATTGTCCTTATGAACATCTTTTGAGGGGGAATTTTAGGCCATAGAACGAAGGGGATGGAAAGAAAGTCACATTCCGTGGGCAGAACTCCTTTCATGTTGTGTGGAAGTGTTCCATTGGAACAAAGCTAAGGGTATTTTCCCCCTTTGGAATGGTTTTTACTGGTAAACAGATTTATGCAGTTAAATATGTTAAACATTTGCATGATAGACTGATTTCTTTACACAACTTGACGGCCCTAATTATGGTTAACATTTTGAAAGTTTGTACTTTGTATCCTACTTTCCTCTCCAATAGGTAGGGCCCATTTCTTCATTTTATCCTAACAACCCTGTGAGATGGGCCCGTCACACACATTCGGCCTACTCTAAGGCCACCCAGCAAGCTTCTGTGGCAGAGTGGGGATTCATACCTGGGTCTCCCAGATCCTGGTTTGTCACTCTCACCACTACACCACAGTGGCACTTAAGGGATGGAGAAAGGGATATGTTTCCTGCTTTTTGGTCGTCTCCCAGCAGCTATATCAGCAAGGCAATGCTTTGAAGGGATGTGCATACTTGTTTCTGTTTTCAGACCAATCTATTTGCGGGGTATGTGGAAACTCTTAGAGTATGAGCATGAAAAATGAAACTTAGAACACAAATTAGATAGCATTAAGTTCTGGACCTTTTCTAGACCTCAGTTATTCCTCTGATTAAGCGCTTATGGTATGCACCCACCAGGGGAAGAGCTGGTTTTCTGATTTTGCTCTCAGGCTACAAATTTAAATAAATTAGTTTGTCCCAGGTACAACAGGAGAGGAGTGCTTCTTATAAGAAGGCGCTGGCACCTATGGATTTCGAAGGCCTTTGTGTGTTTTAAAATCTGCCCAATTTAACCAAGTATACTTCTTCTAATCAATCAAAATGTCTAAAATTGATCAGCTAAATATTGAAGTCTTATTCAACAGATTTTTCTTTGGGTTTGTTTGAACTTGGAAATAGGTGGTCCTCTGTCTCCCGTTCCCCCTTTATTGAGGAGATTACAATTTTTGAAAATCCGTGTTTGTACATATTTGGGTTCGAGGAGCCTGGAGTGTTGTGTGTGGGTATCTTTGCTTCTTTAGAGTGTCAAGGGCATCTAGGTTGTACTTGGTTTGAAAGGTATTAGTACTGAACTGCGGGGCAAAACAGCCCTTTTAACGCTGTGGAATCCCATTTGTATGGGCATGCACATGAATTCTGTGTTTGTAGAGAGTAACATTCAGAAATTTCTCTGGGGTGGTGGTGGTATCTAATGAGCATTCCTTCAAGAGTGAGGTGTGTGTCATTTAACTCTCCTTCAACCACTGCAGTAGCAACATTATGGAGATCTTTCTTTGTAGAGCTTCACACTTCATGGAACTTCAGTTTTCCTCTTACTTTTTTAGGGCTTTCTTCTCCCTAAAAAGTACAATACTTGATTTTTACAGTATCTTTTTCTAGGAAATCTTTCTTTCCCCTTACCTGGCCAAGCATCTATGGTACAGCTGTCCTTGTTCAAGAAGTGTTCTAGGTATGACATCAAGATGCTAAAGGAGACTCGCTTTGGGAAGAAACACAAAGTTGATCATAGTAGGTCTTTTTGCCTAGTTTCTGCAAGCTTCTGATACCATGACTTCTCAGACTTTGTGTTTTCTTTCAGCACCCCTACTAACATTGATTCCCAAGATCAGTACTAGAGCAGTCTCCAGCTCCTAATCAGTTCAAGAATTTCCCGAAGGAGAATGATTTGGAATTGAGATTCCTCTGCTTTTACAAGAGCACATGAACCATCTCTACTGTGTTTCTTATTTACAGTTGTGACAACCTTGTTCTTCTAATTTCTAAAGTTCATCCCTTCTTAGTAACGAGACCTCACCTCTCAAGAATAGGTAAAAGTTTCAGAACTTGTCATTATTCTCAGGGCACTTTCATTTGGAGTGCAACATATCTGCTGTTAAATCAACTTTTTAAAGGAAGGATTTCAGAGGCTATTTGCCTGATGGCATCAGTTGTCCTCTGTTTACCCTTTTAATCCAATTTCTTCTTGCCTCTGTTCCCCAGCAAATTATCACAATGTTTTCCTGGTGTCTTCAGTCTGATTTTTGCACTAAACAGGAACTTTTCTGGGACTGAGCAGCTAAAACAGCTGCTACCTTGTTTGCCCCATAGCATCCCTCATTGTCTCACTTCTGTTATTCAGTCAGAAAATAAATGCAGGTATGGCTTTGATTAGATTAGTATTCATATGCACATTCAGGTAACCCCATTCCTTTTGTGGAATGAAAAGTACAATGAGATCTTCAACCATCATTTTTAAAATTTTTCATCTTGTCTCTCCTCTATGAATGTGCCATCCTTCCACCTCAGTGGTTTTAGTTCATCTTCGGTGCACTAATTGCCCTCATCTCTGTCAGTAACAGCTTCTGTATTCATGTCAGCTGTGTCTTCTGCCTTAATGGCCATACCTTTATGGAACCCAACAACACCATCAATTCAACAAATTCAGACAGCACTGCTAATGCCCATCCTCCACACCAGTGCCCAAGTATTCCTTATCCTATAGCTTTCAATATGGCATGTTCAGGAATTTTGTTACTGCAGTCTCACCTCTTCCTCCAACAAAGTCCTCTTTACAGACCATTGCTTTCCACCTCCCAGTCAGCCTCATTGTCCAACTATGACATCAATAGCTCTGTGGAGGCTGCAAATTTGGGCATGTCTGAAGCCTCAGAATCATCTCTGGCAATCACAGGAGCTTTGTTAGGGCTTTGGGAGATCTTGACTAATGTTGGGAAGCCCTCAGATAGGGGTCTTTTACATCACTTCCTACCTGGTCCTTTTAACTGAAGATGCTGGGAATTGAATCTGGAACCTTCTACATGCAAATCTGAGGCTCTTCCACTGAGCCAAGGCCTCTCCCATATACCCCATGCTTTGATCTGTAGCACTTCTCTTCATCAAAATGAAGCTAATATAATATTTTTCCTTTAATTGGCTTTTATTTTCCTTTAAAAGTAAGATGCAATCTTCCCTGTGTCCTTTTCTCATCCTCAAAATGATACTGAGTGAACTTGGTGCATTTTAGAGATTCAGAAAGTGCAAGCCTTCCATTTGACTTATACTGCAACATTCCACAGTGACTTAAATTTCTTCATTTGTGATGCTGACCCTAAAATAGAGCATTGCATCATGAAGCCTAATGTATTGGATTGTTTCAACAGTCAGACTCTAGTGTGGGCCAGAGCCACGTTTCTCGTGTGGAATGCCATTCTACTGATGTAGCAGCCATGTCTTTGGCCTTTCCAGGTGGGCTTCTGATTCTGAAACTGTGCAGAACGGTTGTCTGGTCCCAGCTATACACTTTGGTACAGTACTAACTGATATTGTAACTGGTATTAACTAGGTATTTGTACAGCCAAGCAACTTCTTCTTGTTGCTGTGTGCATGTCTTTCTCACTTCCTACTGTGACAGTCTGCGAGTACTGAGCAGAATGGTGTGTGCCCCATGTGTATAAGCAGTTTTGTCCCCCTACAGGTTATAAACACCAATTTTGTAGTTCAAGGTAGTTTCATACTTATGCACAGGCACGAAATCTGTATGTGCGGCTGCACCGGTGACCAGTTGAAGGACATCAGTTATAAGGAAGCCACCTATTTTTTCTCATATTGCAAATCCTCATACTTTTCCATCTATAACTCAGAGGGGATTTTCAAGTCTGTTGTGAAAGTTTTCAAAGGTTATTGGCATCCAAATGACTATTCAAAATAGCTGATGGAAGGGTTTGGTGGGGAGGTTCTTTTCTTGCCCCTTCTCCTGTCTGCTTCTGGTAGCAAAAATGCTCTGTGTTTCTGGGAAGCCTTCTGAACAAAATGGACCACAGTTCAAGGGGCTGCTGTAAGGGAGCAGAATCATGTCTTGCTCCGGCAGTGGAGGAGGGAATTTCATACTATTTCCTTTTCTTATTGTGGCTCCTTATAATGGGGTGCATTTTATTCATGTTGATTCACTGGAGCCTTAGAGGACTTGGGGAACAAGGGAAATGTCTCGGCAAAATCAGGTTTTTCAACTTCTTTGAGGTTTCCCAAAGTATCCCGCCCCAGTATGGTAACAGGTCTTATTTTTTTTTCTTTGAGTATGTTCTGTGTCATAACTGCAAATCTCTAGTTTGCTTTCTGGTCCTGTTGAAATTGTACTTAATTGGTCTGTAATGCCCTCAAAGTATAATTAGCGAGTATTTAGGGATCATTGATTTTTGGATATGAATTGTTCTTTAAAGTCCTTGGCATAATTAGGAAATAACAGTTAATAAAGTCACTTAATTTCCTATTTACTTAATAAGAGGCATAGGCAAGTAAAATAACACTTTCTCTCAACTAGAGTACTATGGATGTTAATTTTCTTTTGGAAATTGTTATCCTATTGTTCTGTCTTACTAGTATTAAAATTCTGTTCCAAATGTTACTTGAAT